GCGTGTCTCTCGTCACGGCGACTGCTGCTCTCATCTCTTACATGCTGGTGTTTGTACAGTTCTCTTAAGACCCTGCACCAAACAACAACAGAAGATGATCTCTCTGCTACTCCTGGAGCTGCATCACAAGCCCATACAGTTGTCAGCTCTGGGACTGTTCGTCATCAACCGCGTGTCTCTAGTCACAGCGACTGCTGCTCTCATCTCTTACATGCTGGTGTTTGTACAGTTCTCTTAAGACCCTGCACCAAACAACAACAGAAGATGATCTCTCTGCTACTCCTGGAGCTGCATCACACACCCATCCAGTTGTCAGCTCTGGGACTGTTCGTCATCAACCGCGTGTCTCTAGTCACAGCGACTGCTGCTCTCATCTCTTACATGCTGGTGTTTGTACAGTTCTCTTAAGACCCTGCACCAAACAACAACAGAAGATGATCTCTCTGCTACTCCTGGAGCTGCATCACACACCCATCCAGTTGTCAGCTCTGGGACTGTTCGTCGTCAACCGCGTGTCTCTAGTCACAGCGACTGCTGCTCTCATCTCTTACATGCTGGTGTTTGTACAGTTCTCTTAAGACCCTGCACCAAACAACAACAGAAGATGATCTCTCTGCTACTCCTGGAGCTGCATCACAAGCCCATACAGTTGTCAGCTCTGGGACTGTTCGTCATCAACCGCGTGTCTCTAGTCACAGCGACTGCTGCTCTCATCTCTTACATGCTGGTGTTTGTACAGTTCTCTTAAGACCCTGCACCAAACAACAACAGAAGATGATCTCTCTGCTACTCCTGGAGCTGCATCACACACCCATCCAGTTGTCAGCTCTGGGACTGTTCGTCATCAACCGCGTGTCTCTAGTCACAGCGACTGCTGCTCTCATCTCTTACATGCTGGTGTTTGTACAGTTCTCTTAAGACCTTGCACTAAACCACAACAGAAGATGATCTCTCTACTACTCCTGGAGCTTCATCACAAGTCCATCCATAGATTTTGTTTATTTGAAACTATAGCCTTTATATTCTATCGACAGCCGAGGTGTAACAGTTATAACGTGAATAATTGTCTCAACTCCTGTAAATGTATGAGTTAAAATTCATAAGGAAGGACGATGTGGAAATAGTGCACTTTTTACTCAAAAGACATGATGAAATTTAATGTTAATGTTAAGTGTCCTGGGACATGTCCACAAGAGTAACTGTTTTTAATGTTACATTTTAAACAATGTGTATTTACTTATTATATCATTTATTTATCAGATGAACAATAATTTTTGTCCAAATCCAGAACAATCAATAAGGGACAAACATTTTCCTTCAAAGAGAAATATATTAAACATTCTTCTCTTCTCTAAAAGAGCTTGGCACAAAAGGATATTTCATTACAAAAGAAGTGTTAACAGGATATTTACCCTACTTTTCTAATATTACAATCAGTTTATTGCAAAAAGTACTAAAAATAATACAATATTGTATTACCTAACAGTGCATACTCCATACCAGGCGTTCAGCCAATTGATTAAATCTACCTATACAATAAGCAGTAGGTCAATATTAATTCAGATTCCCCTTGAATATGTTATTTATATGAGTTTACTTATAAATAAATATGTAATATTGCAACAAAGATTCACATTTTATATTGAATTCTGTCGTATCTAAACTAGTTTGCTTATTGCAGTACCTAAACATATGTAAAACTGTATTCCTGTGGTGTAAAGCACAGGATTTCATTCAGAACAAATCTTTTTTTTTAGAAAATATATTGGATTTAAAAACTACAGTACTACAAAGTAATAAACTGTAAATTCCTTTAGTTTTCAGATTTACTTTGAACCTGAAAACTAAAGGAATTTACAGTTTATTACTGTTTCATAATTAATTTTATGTTTGCTCCCCTAGAGAATGCAGAAACAGTGTTCCAGAAGTAATTCGGGACTGGACAACATCGGTGGACCAAGGTCCAAATAAATAGAATGTACTTTCCGGTAATTAGTAATTAAAACGGTTTTGTACCATTTAAGCTGATTATTTCTTTTAATAAACCAAGAGATAGTAAAAGGTGGACGTAAAATACCCTGGGGTATAAACTATTGAGGAGTTTTATATCCTTCCAGTGTAAGGCTTTACGTAGCGTTGATCTTAAAATCCTACTTTAACGTGACAGGATTGGAATCGGATTCTACTTTACTATGACTGTATGATTGTATCTTGTTTGAAATAAGCTAATAAATAGTTTAAACATACTAAACTAAATCAAATTATGCACTATATCTTAGGTTAGCTGAAAATATTTTATATGTTCAAATATTTGTTAATCTGTCTATAATTGAAGAAAAATTTCAGATTAATACTCTGTGCGATATCCTAACGTACTTTAATAGTAGGGCTTTAATATATTATAATTTTCGTATAATTTAGTTCCTCAATTTCATGAAATTTGTCTTAGTTTGTACTTAAAATTTTAAGTACCGTACAATCTTAAGATTAATTTAAATCTTATAATTTTATGGATTTACTTCCAAAATATTTTACACAATAAACATATACGATAATCATAAATTTCTTTTAAAATAGCCATGTTCAGACATGTTCCATCAAATATGTTCAAAATAGAACTGTTGAAAGAACATTCAAAAGATAAATAATAACCTACGATAAAGAGTATATTAAATATAAAATGTAATGTAGGCTCTTTTTAATTTTTTTAAAGACAATCGGTGAAAATTATATATTTTTTGTAATACAATATAGGTACCTGAGTTAAGATGTTGTGTGATTTTTAATTTTGTGTACAAATAAAAACACAGCATATAGGAGATATTTCAATTTAAAATTGTACTAAAATTATTGGGTTTTTGTAATATGAAGCATAGAGATTGTATTAAAAGTTTAATCTTGTTAACACTGCACAAGAAATCCACGTTCATCTCTTCTCAAATGTATTTTTAGTCCAATAATACCTTCCGTAAATACACCTTCGTCATAATAAGATTTCAGTCGGAGTTTCTGTCTCCTCAGGCTTTAGTCCCTCACCACATTAAATAGCCAAATCTTATTTGCCCTTAGTGAATATACCTCAATAATGTGTGGGTAAAATTAGTCTGTAAGGAAAAAATTAATTGATATTAAATGTATATTTTGTCTGCATGTTTGTCATTTATACGCTACACAGCCATGTACCCAATCACCATGAATCGTCGGTACATTGTTCTACATGGAGCATTAGATAATCCTGGAACATTTAGTCTTACATCTGATTTTAAAATTTTCCAGAATTCTGGCCTCTCGAGTTTTACCATTTAATTATGTCAATCTTACTAAAATTATCCAACTGTTAAGTTTTAATTGAACTAGTTGCTTTACCCGTGCTTTGCAACGGAGGAAGAATGCAGAAGAGAATAATGTGGTTCTTTGAATCCACAGACAACATCCACCATTGGTTATAGGAACAAAACTGTAAATCTTGGGTTATAGGAAATTTGAAAGATTGCGAAGACAAGCCAAAGATAAGAAGAAAACTTGGCCTTGGTGATACTTGGAAGCATTAAGATAAGGAACATGATATGAAATCTTGTTAAACACCTTATTCGATCAATCGGGGGACAATGCGATCTTATGCTTACCCGGGCAACCACACGCGGAACAACTGAACTTACAAGATACAATTATAGTAGTTTTACCCATTCTGTGCACCACAATTAAAATCATAAAAAGATGCCTACTTTGAATCTCCTGTTAAAAAATTACAGAACTATTATTAATTATGTTTATTTTTGTGTGACAATCAAATTTATGAGTAAGCCAACAAATCACCTGTTATGGAACAGGTTATGACAGTTCCTGACCTTAAGACTGCCCATTGGAAGTTGTTAGCAAACATTTCCATGAAAAAAGTGTCTAGTATTTGGCCAAATATTTAGTTAACAGGGTTTTCCTCATAGGAAAAAATTCCGATTCATTGCCAACTGAAAATGCCTGAAGCGGATCGCTTCGATTGGAACAAATCTCAAACAATCAATCTTGGAGAGGTGGAAATAACAACAGTTGATGTTTGGTTTTGCGGATAATTGATTTCTTGCTTCTTTCCCATCCTTACTAGATCTATTAATCTTTCTGAAAATGAAATTATTTTAATTAAGTGCAGAGTTAGACCACTTCATGATGTTATTAATATTCCTATGCTTCAAGTTTATTAATATATGTCCGTCATACTGGAGTAAAAACAGTTGCTGTTCTCAATAAATTTGTTGTGGGGTAAAAGTATTTATTTTCATCCCTCGGGCTGAAAGAAATTAGCTGGAGTTCAGCAGCCAAATATTGTACTTTTGCTAACTTTGTCTATTGATTTTTACGAAGAATTTGAACTTATTTATGTTAATCATCTTTAAGGGCATATTTGTTTACTGGTTGTAAAACTCAGACCACTAGAAACCACTAGATGCATCGAGTCTATGAAAATAAACGTGATAGAAAGTAAATATTAATCATTTATGATTGTTTCATTCACGAACAAATATTATCTTAACTTGAGTATACAGGGTCACCAAAAAGTCCTGGAACTTTATTTTATTTTCCACCCATTGCAGTTAATGTAAGAAAGACTTACACTAAGTAAGACGTAACCATAAACTAACTTTTTAGCAAATATAATTTTGTTTCATCATATTAGGCAGAGAGGACGGTCCAAAAAGTCAGAAGGATATCTTAAATCAGAGCAATGATCGATTAGTACATCAAATTAAGAATTGTTTAGATTAGCTAAAATGCTATTTCTAGCAATTTTAAGCTGCCCCTGTTTTGGCTATAATTAACCTTTTTATGTCAGATTCGCAACACGGTTGTGTTCTAAATAGAGAGCATAGATTTGTAATTTTAAGCAACCGTCATTTTTGCTAAGATAAACCTTTAAAGGTGAAGATACATACTCTGTTTTTCCAGTAGAAACCTTTTCATTGTCAAATTCGACCTACGATGCCATTGAGAATTTCCTCCTGACTCTTTGTGGACCGTTTCCAGTATGATAAAACAAACTCATAGTAATTAAATAGTTCATAATTCCTTCAAAAACTATATTTTATGTATCGATTTGCAACGATTTGCTGCACTATCTGGAATTATTCATCAGCTAAAAAGCCGCTCCCAGATTTTTTATGACCCTGTATATTAAAGGAATTAATTCTATCATCAATAAAAATAAAGCGGTGGAAAAACGAGTGAAATATTATCCTTGTCTAGTGAAGTTTAATTTTCTTCATCACAGTATTTGCTTTGTTTCAGGATATTTAGAATCTTCTTGCTTTTGTACATTCAATCCATCAGGTTTTTCATTGTCATCTACTTCTACCACTTCTGATGGTTCTTTGCCCGTTTCTGAGTCTGCAATTTTCTGTATTTGCTTTGTTTCAGCATATTTTGAATCTTCTTTCTTTTGTACATTTAATCCATCAGGTTTTTCATTGCCATCTACTTCTACCACTTCTGATGGTTCTTTGCCCGTTTCTGAGTCTGCAATTTTCTGTATTTGCTTTGTTTCAGGATATTTCGAATCTTCTTTCGTTTGTACATTTAATCCATCAGGTTTTCCATTTCCATCTACTTCTACTACTTCTGAGGGTTCTTCGGCCATTTCTGTGTCTGCAATTTTCTGGATTTGCTTCGTTTCAAGATATTTTGAATCTTCTTTCTTTTCTTTAGGTTCTTCACTTTCATCTACCACCACTTCTGAAGTCTCTTCGCCCATTTCTGCGTCTACGATTTTCTGTATTCCTTCTATCAAGTTTGTTATGAAACTCTTCTTCTTGTTGTACTTAGTGAGGATGTAGTCTTTTGACGGTTTTATCTCACTCGCGACTGTAACTTTATGTTTTTTCGGTAACTTTTTCTTATGTTTTTGCACGATTTTTGGACATCGAGCTCCTTTCTTCTTCAGAGCGAAAGGACTTTGAGCTTTTGTGCGCAGATAATATATTCCTTTTGCACTGTAACAAATCGGTATATAAGTAAAAACTTTTTAATTTCTATTTATTTACCATGATATTGAGAAATACTGTATACCCCTACAATAAAATATTTATTACAACCAAAAAGTATTTAGACGTGGTATTTTGTTTGGGTTTATTCGTAAATACGCTTTATTGTAACTGATTTTTAGAGACACTAATTATTGAGCCTGTTTGAAACTTAAGGCAATATTAGTTAGAATGTTGTGAAGTTCATAGATCAATAAACTAATCCTTGTTTTCAATTACAACTTCGTTTTAAAGCACGTGTAAAGTTATCCCAAATTGTTGACACCAATGAAGTGATAAGTAATACATAAAAATCATCATAGCAGTAGCGGCTAGCCCATAAGGACTCTCGGACGCCGCCCTCCCAACAATACAGAAATCAGTATTTTTTTTATTTATGTAATAAAAAAATAATATGTCGTAATTAAAATTAAATTACAATTACTTACGACTACTTAATCAATATGATAATAATATGAAATGAAATAGTTTTAAATTTTGAATCCAGTAATGACTGTTTTGCGATAGTCGCTTTCATAATGTGGATTGCGGACGGCGGCAACCTCCGTCCCAAACTCAATGCATGTAGTCTTATGGTAGAAACACCTAACAGCGCTGAGGGTGCCGTGACGTCATTCCAATGCTTTACAATAGGGACTCTGGGGCAGAGTCCAAAGCTGCGCGCGCATCCATAAATCAGGGCAGCCACCCTAAACTGGATAATTCTGCATCACACACGATTAGGATAGGAAGAACCATGTTGGCAGCGCTGGAGCCATCATCCACACTGTCACTACCATAAACATTAACTAACCTCACTTCTTTCCATGTCCATGACCACAGTTCAGTTATAGTTTAGTGCCAAACGACCTGTTGTTTTGTGATCAATAGTGTTTAGTGATAGTGATGGAGGCGTAAGGAAGGCAGCGGTAGTTTGTTGAAGATTGAAAGAGCTAAGTAGAAATTATTAATAGTTATACTTAATTGATTGAGTTAGTTAGTTGGTATCTTTGAGTCAATAAGTTACGTCTGTAGTTTTAGTATAGGCTAACCTAATCAACCCGAAAACTAAGTAGACTAGCCATAGGTAAAGTGACTCGGACAATTTTAGTTATAGTTACTTATTATTAGTCTTAATAAGTTATTACGGGTAAATTTGCCGTGGGTTGAAGGCCTAAATCTAAATAATAATGGACGGCGGCATTTCGTTGTCGTCGACGGCTAACGTCACTAACGAAGTTAGCCTGATTATCAATGAAGGGATCAAAAATATTGACCACAGAATTTCTTTGAAAAAATTAGGACCTCCTAGACCTTTCATGAACATAAACCAAATTCAAAACAGTTCAAAGAATAAGAATAGCTTCACACGGAAATTTTCGCCACATATGTACAATCATGCAGATTGGCTATGTGGTTGTTCAATTAAAAATTCATTTTTCTGCTACACTTGTTTGGTCATGGGGGTTCAAGATAGAGCATGGACTGTAGACGGGATTTCAGACCTTAAACATCTACTGGAAAAAGTAAAAAAACACAAAACAAGTGAAAAACACATAAATGCGTCAATAGAATATGCTGTTTTAGGTAAAGTTGATATTAGATGCCAATTGGACAATGCATATAGGTTAAGAATACAAAAACAAAATGAAGATGTTTCGAAAAATCGATACATTCTAAGTAAGCTAATTGATGCAATTAAATTTTGTGGAGCGTTTGAATTAGCATTACGAGGACATGATGAACGCGAAAATTCAAAAAATCCTGGCATATTTCGTGGTTTGGTTAACCTTATGGCGGAGCTGGATGTAACATTGCAACAGCACATAAATCAAACAAATAACCGAGTGTTTTTGGGTCTGTCTAAAACCATACAGAACGAGTTATTGGACTCAATATATTACGTTTGTCTGCAAATGATTCGTGACGAATTGACACAAACCGACTATGTTGCTATTGAAGCCGACGAAACAACAGACTGTGCCACTTTATCCCAACTAGTATTTGTTATTAGGTACGAGCTGAATGGCACGATTCACGAGCGATTTATCACTTTTATTAGACCAAAAGGCCATGATGCAGAATCAGTTAGCGAAACAATTTTTGAAGTATTAGAGCAATTAAACCTCGACAAAACTCCTGATAAAGTCATTGCCCAGAGCTACGATGGGGCTTCCGTAATGAGTGGCCAACACACGGGAGTACAAGCGCGTGTAAAATCTAAATATAAGAATGCAAATTTTGTCCACTGTTACGCACATCAATTAAACTTAATCATTGAACGCAGTGCTACACAAAATAAGCAGGTTAAGATATTCTTCAGTAATATCGAGGGGTTTTCATCATTCTTTTCCCAGTCAACAAAGAGAACTGCAGTTCTCGATGAGATAGTAAAACGTCGTATTCCAAAAAGCTCAGGTACTCGGTGGAATTTTAAATCCAGAATTGTAAGCACAATTTTTAATTATCAAAGAGAGTTGGAGGAATGTTTAAGTTACATACTCGACGATGACACCAATGACTATGCCACAATAAATAAAGCTGTTGGCCTAAGAAGTATTCTAAAAGACGAAGACTTTATTTTCTGGCTGGACTTTTTCAATCAAATACTGCCCCACAGTGACATTCTGTACAACCAACTGCAGCAAACAACAATTGATTGCGTCAAGGCGTTTAAGTTTGTCGGCGATTTCAAAACTGTGGTAGATCGCGTAAGAAACTCGACCATGTTAGATCAACCGAGAGATAGTGAACCCGAATCGAGCAAAAAGCGGAGAAGACACGACGATCAAAAACGCGTCGTCGCAAAGGAAGTGTGTGACATAATTACGTCGGGAATTGATGACCGTTTTACGTTTGTGAATCATTTGTCCGCGGCAAAACTGTTTCAGCCAAGTTTGTTTGGGGAGTTTAAAACCAAGTTTCCCGAAAAAGAGTTACACGCTGCTGCGGAACTATTTAGCCTAAATAAAACTGAATTGAAACAGGAGTTAAATGTTATTTACAATAGGGATGATTTTTCAACGGCCACAGGGTCATTAAGACTTCTCAACTTTGTCTATGACAACAACCTCAAAGATGTGCTTCCAGAGTCAATCAAACTTTTAAAAATCATAAGCACAATACCTATGACTACTTCGGAAAGTGAACGTTGTTTCTCTACTTTGAAACGAATTAAAACGTTTACCAGGAGTACCATGAAACAAGACAGACTAAGTGCGCTTGCTATGTGTTCTATCGAAAAAAAGCTGTTGTCAACTTTAAACTTCAACGAAAAAGTAATAGATCACTTCGCCGGGCAGAAAGAAAGGAGGATGGATTCCACATTCAAACAGTACAATTAAAGTTAGGCCTTATCCTCATGGTATGGTTTTCTACTCATATTGCCGTGGATGTTTTAATATAAAATACAATTAGTCAAGCCTTACCCTCATGGTTTGGTTTTCTATTCGTTATTGCCGTGGGTGTTTAAATTATACAATTCAATCAATGTCAGGCCTTACCGTTTGGTTATCTACTCATTATTGCCGTGGATATTTTACTATTAAATTATCAATTGTTAGTTATATTTTCAATACAGTGTAGTCCCGTTTTACAAGGCCGTAGGCAGGGAGGGGGGTTAGAGGGTCAAACCCCTCCCCCAAAATTCCGAAATTGAGCAGTACAAATTAAAACTAGGTTTAAAAAGTTGAATTATGAAATAGAAACCACAATAGAGGATTAATTGTTATGTTTTGCAATATCTATTCATATTTAATATAGGCCTAGTTATATTAGGATAATAAATCTGATCTATTAAATAAATTGGTAAAAACTATTTAAAAAATATACTTTACTTTACTCTACTTATGTCTATTTGCTCATGCATGACAAAAAACAGGTGAAATGGGAGTTTTTGGACTATTATTGGACACAGTTTTAGGCGTTAAAATTGCTTCAGAAAGTCACCAAACGGCTTTAAAAATTTAAAAAATAGACTAGGTCCTAGAGCCGCCACTGCATCATAGTAATGTTATATCTAAACAAAACAATTCACCACTATATGCATAACTAATGTTAAATATAATATTTTATTCACACATGAGCGTTCCTTTTTTCTGAGAATTCAAATTGAAATCACACTAATTATACTACGTGAAAACATTATGATGTTACGTATGTACCACTTTATATGATTGTGATAAAAATTAGTAGTATCTAAACGGTATCAGACCAAAACCGGAAGTGAAGTTATCAGAATCAATGGAGTGAGTAACGTGAAAGTAACATTGAAGTAACGTGTATTTTTGACGTGCTTGGGACTGAGTGATGTCATTTTCGGTGACAATTTGGGGTGTGACAATTTATGGGGATGACATTTTTTTTTTGTTGACATTATTGCTAAAGGTACAGATTATTTGGATGTATAAGTGTCCCTCTTACCTTTCATTTGGAGGGAAGGTGATCGCAACAGTTTCATGCTTGTTGCAAGCACATCTACTGAACTCTTTCCAGTTCGGACACTTTCTGGCAACAAACTTGTGAGGTCTGTAGACAGATTCTATGTACAACTTCGGAACTCGAGTATGACTGCAGTCCAAACCTGAAAAAGATCCAGGCATTAGCTTGGTTGCATTGAAACAACCATTTTCTCGCACAAAATAATAGTTTGCATAAAATTATGATTCAGGAACCTAGCTGTTTTGTTGATATAGCTATATATAGTCATCGCTGTCAAAGCGCAGCCGTCCGATATCCCGCTTCAAGTGCAAAAACAAGTGGAAATCAGAAGGTGCCGGATCAGGGCTGTACGGCGGATGATCAAGCTGCTCCCAAACAAATCCGTGCATAAGGCTATGAGTAGCAGCAGTAGAGTGGGGACTCACACCAGATGGCCGCCCATTGCGAGCCTCGTCATGAACATTGGTTCACCCATGATTGAATTGCCAAATCCATTTTCTTACCATTTCACCACTGATAACTTTTTCTCCATAAACTTCTGTAAGTCGGCAATGAATTTCAGCAGGCTTCACGTTCCTTGCGTTCAAAAATCGTATTAGAGTGAAAATTTAAAAACGTACGTTTTCAGGAAAAGCACTTTGCAAATTTTTTCCCCCTTTTTTCAAAACTTTTATTATTTTTTTTATTTCATTAACATTTGAAGTTTCATAAAATGTCCATGGTAACGCAATATCTTTGGTAGTTTTTTTTTTAAAGAGCATCTTTAGTGGAAAAACACAAAATCCTGTCACGACCATAACGGACGTTTAAATGAATATTAAAAATGGTTAATATTATTTTTATAACTATGTTTTGCTATAAACTAATTTACTTTTAAGACCATTATACAATAAAAAGGTCCCTGAGCTTTTGGTATATTTGGTCTTTCTAGAAAAAAATAAAAAAACTCAAAAAATTGAAAACAAGCCAATAAAATCTTTTTAAGTTTGTATAACTCCGAAAAAACTTACCTGAGATCCGAAAAATCGTTATGTTTGTATAGAGGTGTGCTTCTTTTGTGTATAAAACATTGTAATATGACGATATTTTAATTTTTGAAATTTTTATGATAGAAATCATAAACGTGATGGTCAGGGACAAGCGTTACGGTCGTGAATTGTCTGGAATAATCTAAATCTTTCTAAACAATCTATCAATTATACTGTTAGTTATAATAAAAATATGTGTTTCAATTGAACTAAACTGTTCAATTTACAATTATATTAAAGTTATTGTCACGACCAAACACACTATAATCCATAAGGCTGGATTGGTCGTGAAAAAACCCGCGATGGTCGTGAAACTTTGGTCGTGAAATTACGTGTTATTTGGCTCTGTTCTGGTGGTAGCCCTGCACCTCATGTTCGAGGATACAAAGTGGACTTCTAGGTTAATCTAGCAATTGAAATATCTAATAAACAAAAATTAACACCATGTCTACTTCATCGAATGACTACGTACGGTCATGGACACACCAAAATTACAAAAAACACAATCTTTCCTTTATTAATCTTGCTATTCATCCTTTCAACTCGAAACGACCGGCACTACAATCCTGAAGTACACCCCGAACTAGTCTCTAAAACCAACAGACTCCATTGACGCCAGGCTTGCCAGTGTCGTGCTCCAAAGTTAAAAATTTTTCCCAAATGGTCGTGACGCCAAATCGAGGGACAGACTTATTTTGTCATGGTAGTCAGTTTGCAATGACAATAAAATTATAATATGCTCCTTTTATGTAAATTTAATATCCATTGATGACATAAAAATATGGCTTTATATATTTCGGCATGAATAATTAGTCTAAAAACAGCGTGAAAGTTGGAAAATGTACCCTAGGGACACGTCATGGTCGTGAATTTCGAGACTTTAAAAATACGAAAAAAATACCTAGAACCTATTTAAAACCAAATAAATGTGTGTAACATGTTGCTCCTGTCCCAAAAAATATTAAAACACATAATAATAAATTACAAATCCAATAACTACAAAGTAAAAGGCCAGGGACATGAAAACGTACGTTTTTAAATTTTCACTCATTACAGAATGCACTTCACAGTCTGCAGATCAGAGATTGTTTCAAAAATGTTGAGTGTACACTAATTAATGTAAGTAAACACAACACAATTTTGCTTTAATTGCATCAGCTGTTGAACAATGAACCAAGGAGACTAGTGCACTTGCGCCTAACATCGTTGTTATTGCTGTGCCGGCAGTAGAACAAACGGTACTTACTTTCTGGACAAGCCTCGTAGCAGAACTTTAATTGTCCAGCTCACTGTCAAATCCTAGTGTTTTTGTCCTACCTTCACATCCTAGGACGCCCGGAACCATTTCACACAATACTTCAGGCTAGGCACAGATGGTTGCAGCATTATCACTTTGATAAACCCTTTTGGCAAAGCAATGCGCTCTACCAATTCACCAGCTAATCCCCACTTAGAAATACTTTTCCTCTTACCTTTATCCTTAGTGCATCCCGGTTGGATGGTTCCCTTGTTATAGACAAAGTCCGCTGTGCCTACCCTGTTCCTGGTTCCACAAGAGATGGAGTTGGTATGGTAGAAGTGAGCGATGCGAGCGTCCGAGGCAGATACATGCATCAGAGCTGGATGACCTTTCCACTTAGCGTGAAACCCTGGACCTGCTGGGTCCAAACCTGTAGAATGTCATTTGTATGTATATATGGTGATGTGTTGGTACCTATAGGCAACACTTGGTACCAACGGTTCATAGGAAAAGTAACAGTACGAAGAACTGATTAAGATGTTGTTGATGGTTTAGTACCAACTGGACACGCTTACGCTGGGTGAATTGCAGGTGCAGCGAACAAAAATTTTTATTTGTGGAAATTATTCACAAATTAAAATTTGTTGATCCTACAAAATGGTGTTTAATTTATTCTATGGTACAACTATAATAACAGTCTTTTTATTTTCCTAGTCATAAAAACCCTGAGACTGGCGGTACTGTATTTTGGACATGGTTAAAAATCAACAAAATCAACCTAAAATTGCCTTCAAATTTAGTGATATGGTTCTATAAAAAGAGACTGTTTAATCCAAAGCTTCAATTGTGTTCCTAAGGCTTTATCATTACAACTTTGTCATCACGATGATTGCCTAGTACTGTTATGTATTTATATTTCGTTGGAATAGTTTTAAAATTAAAATGTCAATATATAAATCAAAACACACCAAAAATCACCAAGGACAAAAATATACCTTAAAGTTGTCTTGAGAAGAACTGTAAGGGTTGACCAATTTAGTGTTGCTCAAAGGTTTGTTGCGGTCATTTTCCATCACAATCCGCAATAAACCTTTGAGCAACATTAACTCAAAGGACAAACAAAGGATTTAGTGTTATTTTTAATCTATCATACAACAATTTTACCAGCTATGAAGTTGATTTCCCCGACCGTTTCTTTGACCACTCGCGCTGCATAGCCCGCCACCTGTGCCCCTATGCTGTACCCAATGATATTGATGTTTTCAGGCTTCACCAGCTGTTGTTGGACGGCTCTACTGAACATTTCACCGATCGCGTCTCCAGCAGGCTGCAAAACAGAATGTCGACTTAGCAAACTAGGTCGGTATTTGGGGAGCAAGATAGTCTAGTGGTAGAGCATGGAGCTTCGGTGCCCAAGGTAGCGGGTTCAAATCCCACTAATCACCAGTGGATTTTATCAATATGATAATGCTACAACCCACTAGGACTAGCCTGAAGTAATGTGTAAAACAGTTCCATGCTAGAACTAGCGTCCTAGAATGTGAAGGTGGGACATAAAAAAATAAAAAAATGTTGGTCTTTGGGAAATGAAAAGCAGGATTTAGGAAACGTTGTAGCAAGTTTTTGATCAAGCTACGATTTAATTAGGATTGGCTACCTGCAACAACTTGTAATTTTAGCTTACCACAAAAAATGGATCACTGCGACGCATGTGAGTATATTTTCCAATTTAACAACGCATACATTTCTAAGACAAAGATTTGATAGACCGTGATCATAGAAGCTTAGTTCACATCTTTCAGGTTTAAAATTTGTATTATTTTTACAAGGTTGCACACACAGCATAGAAGAAAGACCATAAGTAAAGCAATTGTTCCGTTATCAAGTAGTACTAGGAGAAAATTACAAGTAACAAGTTAAGTATGTGAAATTATTCTTATCCAGGTACTGCATGAAATATTATACCTGAACATTAGCGAGGATTCCAAAGTAGAATTGATTTCTAAAACTGTTCTCAAAGAGTTCTGGCATATCCACGGCAAAGATGTTGTACTTGTTGGTTAGCTTTCTTTTGTTGAATGCTAGAAGTAAAAAAATCATAAAGTACGTAGGCCTTCTACATTTGATTAAGTGGTGAATGTAAAAATAACCTGTTTTGGGCCTCAATCACTGTATTGCCTATACATTAGATAGTTATTTTGTTGGTCATAATTGAAAGAGGTGCATTTTTAAACCTGTTGAAAATTGTAAGATTCACTTCATCCAAGATAGTTAAGGATTTTAAGATGGGACTTTTCACCCCTTGAATAAATTCATGTTTTACTTTTCAAGCTTAGCTTAGTAAGTTAAGCTTTGTTAAATGTATAAGTTTGGAAAAGTCTGATATTTCTGAAGTTTCAAGTAGCACAATTAATTCATGATAGATTTTCGGACATGTTAAATATGTTGATATAAGCATTTATACTTAGACTTCATATTTATATTTGAATTTTTACTTTCAATTCAATTTAACTGTATTTCATGTAACATTTTTAGTATCATAACTTATCATATTACCAAAACGTTGAAAAACTGCTTATGACTATGGTAACTATAGTGTCAGTATATAAAAACCACAAAATATATTTACCCCGAATGATTCCGTTTACAGCATAACAGTCAGCTCCATGGTCCATCCCATGGATTATAAGTACCAAAGGTAGCGTTTGATTGAATCCTTTGCTTTCTTGAAACAGCGTTTCTCCTTCAGAGATACGGGCTGTTTCAAAAACTGAATATCCTTCCCTGAAATTCTTACAGTGGGTAAAAAAAAAATATTTTGAAATAAAAATTGATTTTATTTTGAAATAAAACCAGGTTTTTATTTTACATGAGTTTAACCGAGGCCGTGGTCTTTGGAGCAACCCGCTGGGGTTCATGTGCATACGGTACTGTATCACTAAAAAATTAATTTCCATTTTCCAGTAAAGCTTAAGAAGCCTCAAAATAGCATTGGTTTTGAAAGAGTAGATGAACGTTTTAGATTGGATAAAAGTCAATGACTAATTAACAATATTTAAATTATGATGAATGTTTTAAGTTGTGAATTGCCAAATAATAATAAAAAGGTTTTTAAATACCTGCTATTAAGCAATCCATTCTATTGCAGTCGCAACTAATTTCGGATCACTATTGATCCATCATCATTGTACAAGGACTTCATAAGAAGAGCGTCACATTTAACACATAAATAAATAAACATTTACACGACACGATACGAACCCGGAAAAACATTTATGGTAGATAACTGATCAGTTGTAACAGACCCTAACCCGGTTTAATAGCAGGTGTTTAAACCTTTTTATTAATATTTTTAAGATTTGATAATTGATTTTTCCCTTACCATAACACTTAAATACGGTATGTAATATTCAAAATTATTAAACCTCGGTTTGTCAAAACACTTTGCAGCAAGCCTGGCTCATGAGGTGATTATGAAAGTGAAGAATGATAACAGCAAGTGTATATGTGGCATCATAGTTCTTGATGGTGATCTACTTGGGAACTACGTACACTAAAATAGTTGTTTATACACTATCGTTCATATAAGATCGTTAATAGTAGAATGACAATTAAAACTGTGTTTTTGTCTCAAATGTTTTTCTCTGGAATGTGTTACAAACATACCTTACCTGTATAATCTCAGCTTTATTTTGTCTTCATAATATATTGCCTCCACCAGACATAGCTGAAGACCTAAAGAAATATATTAATCATAAGTCATCATTTTTCACATCTTCTCAACTTTCAATCCTATTTTTTTAATTTGATATTTTACAAATTATTTTCCAATTTGGAATTCTTCTAATCATTTGAATCTGTAAAAAAATCTATAGTCTATAAACTAAACTAGTGTCACATTGTTCCTTAGTAAGTCCAGAGATTGTAGTTCTTAAGTCTCTATGGATGCTAATACCATTGTCTTTGACTTAGGTACTATACCGGTATCCTATCCCTCTTATTGAATAGAGTTAAATAAGCCTTATATATTGTTCCTATTGAAGCGTCCATTTAAATTCTATTTTCTCTTTTAGTTTTTTATACAATAAGTATTTATAGGAACATAAAATAACATAAAGTTTACGATGAGTTTTTTTTTATTATTTAGTGTAATTCAAAAAGTTGGTACGATGAGAAATAAATTTAGTTTTGTACCTGTCAATGTTTCAATTGAATTATGTTATTTTGTATTCTAAAACTTGCTACAACTTTCACATTGAACTTCTAACAACACTTTGTAGGTAGAACACTTTTAATACAGGTACCATCTTTGCATAAGAGTAAACTAAATCTTGAAAAGCATTTTCAAACTTATATGATTACAATCTGCACTGTGATAAAACTCCCCATATCAAGTTGATGTGGACAAAATTGTATATATAAAGTATTATTTTATAGAAAAAGGCAATCTGAAAAATATAGGAAGGTTTTCAAACAGTTTTGAAAATATATATAAATAACTATATAAAATAAATCACAGTCATTGCCAATACCGTACTGGACTTACAATGTATTAATAAAGCTGTGATGAAAAGACTCTTCATTATTTTGTATGAGACCACCAACACATTCTAGAAACTATTGTCACAATAAATAGAACCCTCCAATTTCTTCCAACTGTGTAATTGTCCTGGGGTCATTATTGAGGTAAATAATTGCTCGTATTAATTATTGAGCAATGTTGTCTGTAGAACAATATACGTTATGTAAAATTCTATTGTATTCACATTTTACTTCACACCTCCCTATACCTAACAAATATTTTTTATTTATGTTTCACAATATACCTTTGTAGCGTTTTGGTTTTAAAATTGTCATTAGATGTATGGAATTAATTTGAAAAAATAGTGAATCTTTGCTTATCTAGATTGTTTGAACCTCAATCAGACCTCAAATAAATGTCGAGTGAATATTACAATAAATATAAGTATGAAATCCAAATCAAATTCCAGTGAATCAGTTAGCCAATTGTGAGGTAAATTTATCCAATCAAGAAAGGTTAATTAACATTCTAATTCAAGTTTACAAAGTTGGTGTCTCTAAGAAAAGTTTGTTTTTGTCTGAAGTGCTAAGTATCAATCATGATCACATCACCCTTCCCTTGCGTTCTGTTTTCCCTTCTAACCACGGCATTTAATTACTTTATCGAGGATTAGATGAGTATTGAGTTTGTAAGATAAAAGTCTTTCCAATCACCCATTACGATACCTTGAAGTTGTTGGAATGCATCTAAGTTGTACGTCAAAAGATTTATAAAACAATAGGGCTGGTAGCGGGCGTTCGTAAAATTTCATCGATGCAATGTGATTAAATTTAAAGAAACTTTGCTCCACAAGCAAAATTCACCCAACTTTGGTCTATTCTTGAAGACTATTGAACGACACCAGTTGGCCCAAACCATGAAAAACATCGTACAAATGTTGAAAACTCCCTCCACCCTTTAACAATTTTTAGGTCCAAACACATTGCTCTATTCATGTCTGTGAAATAGTGATGGATTTGAATTTAGAAATTTAATTCCGTACAGACCGTGATTTACCCATGGTATACTTGTTGGTAGTGTAAATTTTCTTTCACGACTTTTCAACTATACCAAGACTAATTGTCCCATTGTAAAGCTAGATTATTAGTGTATTTCATTTTATTTCATCAGTGAATGTTCCAAGTCGGAATCAAATTGTCAACATAACCAGTAATTATTTCATGATTAATAGCTGAAAACTATCAAACATCTGTTTAGTTCGTGTTATGTACGTAAGCAAGAGTGACTACCTTTACATGTATGGCGGCCTACCGTATAAACTCTTATGGCATTTACGAAAGCGACATTTTGGCTGCTAGTACTGGGTATGTAATTCTAATTTGTACTACTTTTGTCAATTCATTTTGTAACATATGGCTGCATGAATGTACAGTACTAATTATTAATTACAGTCAGCAAAATGTTTTGAACAAATTAGAGATTACTTATAATGTGTGATTTGACCTTGTGTATTTTTAAGAGTCTAGTTGAGTTTTATTTTGAAACTTTAAGCTTTGGGGATTATTCATACTTGTATCATGTTTTTTTTTTTATCTTTTTAACCCTAAAATTTGTATGCAACCCAAATATTTGACTCAAATTTAGGAGAGCATTGTGTTTATACAGTGATAACTGGTTTTTTTCCGAGTTAGTTTGGCTCTTCTACCCGACCGATTTTCATGACGAGGACTCAAATTGAAGGTATGAACCCACAGATATCACATCAAGCATCGGCATATATTTGCATTTTTTTATCTTCTGTGTTACTTGACCAAAAAACATAAATTTGATTTATTTTTAAATTCTTACTTCAATTTAAGATGTACAGGGTGTTTATAAAAAAACTTTACAACTTTAACATTCTCCCATTCATGATCCATGGGACATAAACGTTTCCTATTGACACCACATGAAAGGGCTGCTCAAAAAGTTTTAATCAGCTGGCAGTTCAATCAGCTGATGGCCTTACATTGTTGTTTGGTAAACAAAAACAAATAATTGAAAAGTCTCATTAGCATCGCAATGGAAGCACGAATCAAAGCGCAGTGTGTGGAGTGGTTCATTGAAACGAAATCTGATGTTGTTGTTCAACGGAGATTTCGGACAAGATATAATAGGAATCCTCCTTCAAGACCCACAATTAGGGCTTGGTACTATAAGTTTATGAACACTGGCAGTTTGAATCACAAGAGAGGAAACGGTCGACCCCGTGTAAGCGATGAAGATGTGCGGCGTGTTCAACAATCATTTGTGAACGACCCGAAAAAATCCACCAGATCTGCGGCACGTGATTTGAATATAAAACATTCTACTGTACACAAAATCCTTAAATCATTGAAATTTCGTTCATACAAACTTCAAATTTTGCAAAAGATCACGCCGAATGACTGGATTCTCCGAAAAGAATTTGCTGTGACTGTGCTAGATCGGTTGGCGGAAGATGAAAATTATTTGAGAAGAATTTTTTTTTCAGACGAGGCTACCTTTCATTTATCAGGTAAAGTCAACAAGCAAAATGTTAGAATATGGGGAACCGAGAACCCCCATTGTTATCAAGAGCACACCAGGGACAGTGAAAAAATTAATGTTTGGTGTGGATTGTTTCATGATAGGTCCTTTTTTCTTCCAAGAAAACAACATAAATGGAAACATTTACATTGATATGTTGGAGATTTTGCTTTTCCCCAACTAGAAGAATTACAGCCAAATGTAATTTTTCAACAGGACGGTGCTCCCCCGCACTGGAAGAGGTTTGTTCGGGATTGTTTGGATCAAAAATTCCCAAATCGTTGGATTGGCCGTGGTGGGCCAACACCTTGGCCTCCTAGGTCACCAGATATAACTCCATGTGACTTTTTTGTTTGGGGTTTTGTTAAGAATCGTGTCTACGCTAGTAAAGTGGACAACAAAGAAGAACTAAGAGAAAGGATCAGGAGAGCGTTTGATGAAATAGATCATTCAATTTTGCGTCGTGTTTGGTCAGAACTGGAATGTCGACTTGATTTTTTGCGAGCAAACAACGGGAAACACATTGAAGTTAGGTAAACTTCTTATCATGTAAATAAAACTTGAGAAAATTTCCTAAATTTTAATTTTTGTTTCATAGCTGTAAGTGAAAAAATAAAGGTTTTATGATTGTTTAAAGTTGTAAAGTTTTTTTATAAACACCCTGTATTTCACCAGTTATAATTGTATAATCCTATATATTTTGTCTAAGAACCTTCAGTGAAATACCAGCATTTATTTAAGCTATTAGTTATTCAAATCGGACGAGTTTCAAGCAAATGCGGACAACCAACATAAAAATTATTTTTTTAGGTTTTTCTATGATTGAAAATGAATATAGCTCCAGTATTGTTTATGGTTTTTTATATGTTTTAGACTCAAAATAATCAGTAAATTATAGGCTTTAATTTTAGCTATTGTTCGTTTGAATCAGTTTAAGTTCAAGAGACTGAATTACTCAATCAAAAATCATAAATTTGATTATTTCTCGGATATGATATTTATTTAAGGCTGCGGAGTAGCATCCATGATGGGTCCTCTAGTTAGTAATAATAATAACTCTTCACTTGATTTATTGGCCTTTGGAGGTCAAAGAGTTTAATGAATACATATTTTTCCAGTGTCCTCTTTGCAAATATCAAAAGCAGAATGGTCGGCAGAAGGACGTGTTGGATTACGATTTTACACGTGAGTATATTAAACCTATCAATTTTAACAAGCTTTGGCTAGTGATAATGTTATGTAATATGATTCCTTTTGTACTGTCAAATATTTATTCAGCTGTTTTATTTAAGACTGTTTTGTTTATGTATGTAATGTTTACAGTTTTGTGCAATTCTCTCATGTAAAATGTAGCTGACTATTAAGTTGAATAAAACCATATAAATTTGGTTTCTAAACATTTCTTTTCATAACAATTTATTCAACTTAATCTTTTAACTATATTATTACAAGTTCTTCTATACAAGTTGTATTCTATCTTTTCTATTCAAGTTTATTCCAAGAAATCTAAATGGATAAATTCTTCAAGCCGGAGCGCCTATCTTTAGACCCTAATGATCCCCATTCTGATCGTCAGTGGAAACATTGGAAAACCACTTTCAAGAATTTCGTGGAAGAAATATGTGCTGCAGAAGATGATCTACTAAAACTTCTAACTAATTTTGTGGACTACAACATACATGAAATAATCTCAGAGGCTGATTCTTATACCGAAGCTATATCTATTCTTGACAAACTCTTTATAAAGCCTACTAATGAGGTATATTCACGTCATCAACTGGCCACTAGAAGACAGGAACCTGGAGAAAATATTGATCAGTATCTTCGAAAACTAAAAGAACTTAGTAAAGCATGCAACTTTAAATCTGTCACTGCTAATGAAAATCGCAACGAGTACATAAGAGACGCTTTCATTCGAGGACTAATATCACAGTCCATTCGACAAAGACTTCTTGAAAATCTAACTTTGACTCTTGAAGAAGCTTATAATCAAGCCATTACCTTGGAATCAGCTGAAAATCAGGCGGTTTCATATATTTCAAGCCCTTGTAACTCTATATCTCAGTCAACTCCTAAAGATGTTGATGTTACTGATACAAATGTTTCTCAGGCAGCTTCTGATTCGTCTTCACACCAATTATCCTCGATAAGAAGAGAAAAATGTTTCTTTTGTGGACGGTCACGACACTCTCGAGCCAACTGTCCTGCCAAAGACTCAGTTTGTAATATTTGTAACAAGAAAGGCCATTGGGCAACAGTTTGCAATTCTCGCAACCAAAGTAGGACATTTAAGGGTAAAACAACTCAAAGTGATAAGACAGAAATAAACTCAATGTCTTCTTCTCTTGTTGCTGCCTCACAAAAATGTCTTTCAAAAGCTACAGTGTCACTGATGTTAAACGGCAAACCAGTAGATGCACTCATTGATACTGGGAGTTCCGACAGTTTTTTATCTGAAGCTACTGTGAAAAGATTCAATATTTCTAAATACCCAACAAAGCATGAAATATCGATGGCATCAACAAGTCATGTTTCATCAACTCTTGGCCACTGTATTGTTGACATGGTGTGCGATGGCCACGAATA